GTCTCCCTGCACTGCTGATTCTGGTGAACTTGGTTGGTTGATATTTGAGGAATAACGTTAACGAGATTCCCTTCCTTCCCTTGGTCCTTCTTTCTTCCCTTCTTCTTGAGACCTCATGTAGACACTGGCTGACTCCTCTGTTCTAGGACCAGCAGAGGTCTTGGAACCAACCACTCAAGAGAGCCCTGGAGCAGAAAGCCCTCGCTTAAAGGAAAGCTGCAGTCAACAGGGGCCTTTTGGAAGCTGGCAGTGTGTGAGCGGGCTAATGTCACTGCAGGCTGGGATGTGGTCCCGCTCAGGCCAGCTCAGGGGACAGCTCCCCTAATGGGGAAAGCGGGTTCTGCCTCCGCAGGCCTCCCAGCCGGGCAGTCAGCGCAGCCACAGCTCCAAAGCTTCCCTGGTGGTGGGTGCCGGGCTGTGACCGTGCAGCCGAGTGACTAATTTGGGCACTTAGAGTGTTGAGCGGCCGGCTCTCTTCACCAGTGAGAGGCATGGAGGCCCTGCTTCCCAGAAGGGGCAGCCACTGTGTAATGAGCTGTCGTCTGATTTGCTTTCTGTAGTGTTCCTTCCTTTCCACTCCCGCAAACGCCGCTTCCCCATGTCTACGTGCTGTGCACTCAGGCGGTCCCATTCTAGTGCCCTTCAAATAAGAGGGTTTGGCCACCTCTTGAAGTCAGCTTGGGCAGGCGACATGCCTCCTGAGATGGGCTCAGGCGCTGCCGCCACCTCTGAGGAGAGAGCTGTGCACAAACCTGCGTCCTTCCCCCGTCTGCGTCCGCACGTAGATGCCTCGCTGTCCTGGGAGCATTACTGCTTTTCTGATTTTGAAAGTGACAGGTGTCCTACCCAGAAGCACCGGGGGAAAGGGAAGGCTCCCCCGGAGTCCTCAGCACTGAGAGAAGCAGCCGGCACCAGCATTTTGGACTCCAGCCTCAATCTCTTCTCTGTGCACATACACTTACGCGTTTCTTTCCTCTTTAATAGGAGAATGGAATCGTACTGTCCATGCTTTTTGAGAGCTTTCTGTTTTCAGTATGACGTGAACCTGTTTGTCTCTGTAAATACAGATCTAGAGCCTTGCATAAGGACTCCTGGTGGTGCAGTGGTTAAGCCCTTGGCTGCTAACCAAAAGGTTTGTGGTTTGAACCCATCAGCCGCTCTGTAGGAGAGAGATGAGGCAGGCAGTCGGCTTCTGTCGAGATTGACAGCCTAGGGAACCCTGTGGGGCAGTTCCTCTCTGTCCTCGAGGGGTAGAATGGACTCCATGGCAGTGGGTGTGGGTTTTTGGTAATCCATGCTTCCAGATATATGGTTATTTGTTTAACCATGCCTTTTTGGTGGGTGTTTAAATTGTATATAGTTTTTCACTATTATAAACACTTACAAACGTTCATAATTTGTAGTATTTAACATAACTTGGTTGTTTTTAAATTGCATAATTAATGTATTTGAAATGAGATAGTGCAGGACCAACTCAAAAATGAAAATGGAAACTGCCTAGAAAAAAACACTGACCATTTAATTAGTGTTACGTCTTTTCAGACGTTTTCTATCATGAATCTACCATCATCAAGTCTGTTTCGACGCATAGTGACCCCAGAGGGCAGAGCAGAACTGTTCCACAGGGTTTCTTTCCTTTTTTAAAAAAAAACAACAACAACACTTTTTAATACCATTTGAGTGAAATTTTACAAAGCAGCTGGGTTTACATTCAGCAGTTCACATACACTTTTTCTGGTAACACTGGTTACATTCCCCGCAGTGTACCAGCTCCCTTTCCGCTTCCTCCCTGTGGTCGCCCCTTCCCTGTCTTCCTTGCCTGTGCCTTCCTCCCTGTCCTTCTCCTCTCACAGGGTCGGCTCTTCTGAGAGCGCACTGGCCTCCTGGTGTAAGTGTTCACCTGGTCGGTCTGTCTAGTGTTTGGCTGAGAGTTAAGCCACAGGAGTGAGTGCCATTATTCCAGGACCAAACAAGGACTCAGGGCCATGGTCTCAGGGGTTTCACCAGTCTTCTGTCAGACCGATAAGCTTAGTCTTTTTTATGATTTTGAATTTTGTTCCACATTTTTCTCCCTCTGTATCTAGGGTCTCCAGTTTTGTTCCCTTTCTGAGTGGTTAGCATGATGTCCTTCTCCAGAGACTGGTCCCTCCGTACAGTAAAATGTATTCTTTTTGATTGTATAGTTGTGTGTATGTGTTGGGGTTTTTTTGGTAGTTGTCTTTGGGTTTGTTGATTTTGTTGTTTTTAGGTCTATGAATTTGACTAAAAGCATTGAACTGTATAACCACAATAAAGATCCGTAACAGTCCATCACCCCTGAAAACTGTCTAGTGGGCCCTGTTGTAGCCCGCTCC